GCATCATATTCTAGTGAAATGTTTTTATCCATTATTAATCATTTTTGGACTAAAGTGCGGAACTGACTCTTTTTTTCAGTGTGAACAGTCTGACATCAGTTGGTTCAGAAGTGAATGTCTTGCTTTGTTACTTCTTGAAATTTACAGGAAAGAACGACGATGCTTTCAGACATACGAGGGGCAAAAAAAAAAACTGAACACTGGTGCATTCAGGCAACAGTGCCTTACTTTTGGTAGATTCTTGTCTCCATGATAAGAAAGTGACATGTCACATGACTGTTTCACAATATTATCTTTATCTAAAAAATGTAATTTGTCATTAGAGAACTGGACCTTTCTTGGGGGTTTCGCCTTCACAGCATTGCTGTGGTCATCTCTTTGCCTTGGCCTTCTCTGTCTGGTTCAGAATTTTCTCTGCAAGCAAAAAGGTGCTAACATTTAGCAAACTCAAACTTTTTCCTTTCATGTGTATTGTTGTTCACTAATCAAAAAAACTCAATGGAGCTTTCGTAACAGTTGTTCTGATCTTATCTTGACTTTGCCATACAATTTTTCAGAAGCCCTGCTTCCGAAAAATTTTCAACTTCATTTAGTGAAACTCAGCACATTGCAAGAGGTTTTATGACACCAACATTAGTTTTGAGTCAGCATCTGTAAGCAACTTACCAAGTTTTGAAATAGATCTTTAATAATTTAAAAACATTTAACACTTACATTTAAAAATGATTCTGCAGAAAATAATAATACTCTATGTTTTTGAAGTTTAAATTCAAGTGATGAAAAAGGCTGCCAAATTACTAATTAGACAGTATATATTGACTTGCTTCAGTGCATTCCAATACAAAAAGAAAAAGGAAAACTGCCGGCTTATATCTGAGTCACTTCTCACCTCTTTGCATTTCTCGCCTCCTTGCCTGTCTTCTGATCTGAAAAAGGAGAAAAACCATCAGTACAAACAGCTTATACTAAACTACCTCAAAAGTTAATTCTTAATAAAGTGAAGGGAGAAAATTTTTTTACCTTTCATTTTACAGTACCAGATTAGAAGCACTACTACTAGTAGTAGTAGTAGTAGTAGTAGTACTACTATAGCAATGATAAGCCACACTGGAATGACTCTGTCTGAAGATTGGAAGACAAAAAAAACAACAGTACCCAGAGATGTTTTTATTTTCCACAGATTTTACAGTTAATAACTTTAATACTGACCAAGAGTTGTTAGCTTATGTTGCCTTACCTTTAATACTATCGAACTTGAGAAAGGTGTTTGTAATGTGTGTCTCCACAGCGTCACCGATTTCACACGTGTATGTTCCCTCCTGATCTGAGGACAAGTCCTGCAGTGTGAGGCTGCCTGACTCTGACACATCCTTTACATGCTGCTTCCACTCCTCTGAGACTGTGTAGTTGGCATCAGACCGGCTCAGGATTATTTGACTGTGGTTGAATCTCCAGACAAGATCGGTTAGTGAAGAGTTTAAGCTGGAGCAGGGAATTGTTGTTGTTTCAGAGTAGGTACCCTTAACTGAAACTAAAAAACACAAGCAAAGACAAAAACAAAGCAAATTAACTGGAAGAAATCAGGGCTTCAAGGAGCTTTACTGTCATTTGCATTACATGTTAATATGAGGTGGAATGAAATTATGGACACACGGTCCCGGAGTGAAAAGGAGCAAAAAAAATTCTGTTTCTTCATTATTAAATATAAAAGTAATAAATAAAATGAAATGACAAGTAACAAAACAATACAATAAATATTACTATAAATACTACTATAACTAGAGTGCAACAACCTTAATACTAGTATGGAGTATGGGTATAGCGTGTATGTATAACTATAGGTGTAGATAAATACTTTAGCAGCAAATGGGCATGATGACCAGCATTGATAAAGTGACGTGTCAGTAAGTGCCAGTAGTGATTAAGGTGCTACAATAGCAGTTCTTGTCCATTTATGCATTCAGAAGTCTCACAGCTTCTGGAATGAAGCTGTTTCTTAGTCGGGTAGTTTTGCATTTGATGCTCCTCAGCCTCCTGCTTGAGGGGAGCGGGACAAAGAGTGTGTCTGCTGGGTGAGTGGGGTACGTAATCATACAGGTGGCCCTCTTCCTGCATTTGGATGTGTGTATGTCGAGGCTGCCTCCGACAACTCTCTGTGTAGCGTTCACCACCCTCTGTAGAGCTTTCCTCTCTGCCACAGTGCAGTGTCCATGCCACACGTTGATGCCAGAGCACAGAATACTCTCCACCACACATCTGTAAAAGGAGATGAGGACTGATCTCTCCATTCTTGCGCGCTTCAGCCTCCTCAGGAAGTAGAGCCTCTGGTGAGCCTTCCTGATCAACTTTTTTTCCTGGGTGAGGTTGCTATCTAAGTATATACCCAGGAACTTGTAGCTGGGTACTACTTCGACTGCAGATCCTCCAACGTGCAGGGGTTTGTGTGTGTGTGCGTCTTCCCCTCCTGAAGTCCACAATCATCTCCTTCGTCTTCTTCTCATTTAAGCAGAGATAATTTTTCCTGGACCAGTCCTCCAAATGTTCCACCTCCTTCCAGTATGCAAATGTACTGTTTATAAGGTTGGGGAAACCCACAGTCAGCTGAGACTTAAGAAGTCACTCGTATGATTGACGAAATGTTTCTCCCAAAAAAAGCTACGTCCGGATGAACAGAATCTACTTTTGGAGCTTTACTTACCTGGATGATTGAGCATGCATCAAGAAGTGGACATCTATGTCACTGCCTCTGTTCAAAGATGCTCGTTCACAGTGGACAGAGAGGGCAGTTCATAGTTTGACCCTAGAACATTTGACCCTAGAACTGAAGAAGCTTGTCAGATGAGAGATGAAATGTGTTCAAGCAACTTAAAGAGGTTCAGATGCTTTTCTTTCCAAGCTCCTTAGACCTTTAGCAAAGTTGATGAAAACTTACATAAAGTCCAGAGGGATGAGTCAAAGAAAACAGGAATTCAGAAAAGCACATGAAACTCATAAAGGGCAAGGAGCAGAGACAGAAAAAACACATTATGAGAAAGAGAAATATAAATACACGGAATAAACTGGGAGCAGGAATGTGTGGATATAGGTACACAAAGCTCTGATGACGTATCCAAAGAAAGTGCTGACAGCCTGACATGAGGGTCAAACTCCTCCATTGTTTGTATTCCTCTGCGAGCAGGTGTACTCAAAGTGTTTCGCTCAGCTGTTTTGGATCTGTTTCTGATCTCTCCTCATCAAGGCGCAGTACTGAAGACGCAATCAGTGTAGCAGTTCTTCATCAGATGATTATTGTAGCCTTTGTGATCTCAGTAGCACACTAAAACTCTGAAACTTTAAACTTTATTAGTTGAAAGATTTAGCTTTTCAGTTAATTAAGATCTGACACTATCCTATAAACTAAATAAATCCTAAAGAAACCCTAACTTTCTTGTGTGACTTCCATAACATTAGTTCTGCATGTTACATACAGTGGTCCCTTGCTATAACATGGTTCTGTCATGGTCCTGAGTCTGACGAATCAGTGTTTTATGTTTCTTTATAATATTCTGTGTTCTTGTTTATTCTGTTATGTCTTTGGGTTCCGTTTGCCATTCGTTAGGGTTTTGTTTTGTGCCTGCCTGCTCCCACTTCTCTGTGTTCCCTCTGTCTATGGTGTCACTGTGTCTGCTTGTGAGTCTGTCTGTTCTGTGTCTGTTAGTTTCCTGTTTTATTCTGAAGGTCCTTGTCTTATGTGAGTGTGTTCAGTTTACGCAACCCGCGACAGTTTCCCTTTTTGCTCTCTCGCTGTTTGCTGATCTTTTTGGTGCAATTTTGCATGCTTTAAAAAACAAAACAAAAAAACAGTGAATTGTGTTCTGTGTCCTGATTGGCTGTAGACCACTGTCAAACAATCTTGTGCTGTGTCTCCTGTACAGTACAGAATGGTTTCAGCTTGTCAAATGTACATAAATCTTTGATCGCTAGCAGTGTGACTCTGAAGTGCAGTGAAGTGAAGTTTTCTCCCCAACAAACACAAATGTTGGCGAAACGTTTTGCACCATCAGAGGCAAACGCAGGTGTCTTTGGTTTCATTTTATAATACTGAACTTTATTTTCTTTGTTTAAACAAGAGAGAAAAGTGTGAAAGTTCATGTGGGTCGGAGAAAAGTGTATACAGTGTGCAGTGAGAGGTTTTACAGCCATAAAACATCAATAGTAATTGTAAGAAATGTAACTACCGCAATAAATAAGGGACCACTGTATATAAAAAGTTTTCCTTCAGCAGAAAATTTATAACATGTTGAATGTGTTGGGAAAAATGAACACAATGTTTGAAAATACTCACCTTCCAGCTGATGTTAAATTAAATTTGTGAACATAGCATGTTGTGTGTCCAGCCGGGCTAACCACCTTAATATTGCTGTAAACTCTGACCTTGAGCTAAACTCTGTTAACTAACCCATTAATCTTGGTTCATAGTTGCTCCCATCTGGTTTGCGACGGGTTATTCCACATAATGAAATATAATCTGTTCTTTTTGCATTCTCGAAAGAAAATTTCAGAAGTAAATAGTCTGTGGATTTGGACTCAATACTTACTCAGCTGCCTCCAAGTTGCCCTCCTGTTGTTCCTGTGTGTGCTGACTATGCAGATGTAGACCAGATCTGTATCTGTGTGTGGAAATATCAGGAAACTGCTGATGTTGTAAAGCTGCTGCTCAGTCTGATGGGCTGTTGTGTTGTTGTTGGTGATGCTGGATGGAGGCCTGGTGGACCAGGTGAGCTGAGGTTTAGGGTAGATCCCCTCTGAGCTGCAGGTGAGTCTGTTTCCTACCTGCTGGATAATGATTTGACGCACCAGAGCTGTAAAACAAAAGAGAAACTTGATTCGCCAATAACTGGGGTTTGAGGACAAGGGTGTATGCACCATTCAATAACAGTTGTTGTTTTTAGTTATTAGAAGGCCAAAGTTAGGCCCACTATCTACTCTTCCCAGACTTAAAAGGTGAACTGTAAACTAAAAGAACTATTCTTTAATTCTGTCACTGCACAGAATAAAATGATGCACAGCTGTAATTAGACTCCATTTTGCAGTTAACTAATGCTTCAGTATAGCCAATGCATGTTGTTCGTGATCAGCTATTTCTTCTATTGCATATTACATTTAAACGTCAGCCTCCTCTACCAGATACCTGGGAGCTGTTACTGATGTCACTGCTGTAGATCCTGGTGGTGTGGTCTGGATCAGTGAGTTGTTTCCAGCCCTGTATTCTCATCCCTTATGTTCCAGGACCTTTTCTCAGTGTGTCCTGTCCATGTCAACTGACATGGACCTTGTTAATCTAGGGGACATAACTAGTATTGTTTCAGTTACATATCTCTTCTTATTCCGAGGTAGGCTTCAACGGAATGCACACCCATCATGTGGCCCCACTGTACTATCCACCCATTATTATATATCGACAAAATGCAAGTCCTGAGTATATATTGGTCTGAGGGAGCCTTTTGTGTAATACCTGACTAGATCTAAAAACGTCTGTATGCCTACAAGAGACCTTCTTGACTCTATAGTTTTAAGTTATACTGCATATTTTTCATACCATTCACTTTCAGGTTAACAAATGACTCCTGGTTTCCTTCAATGCTGCTTATGTGGCACTTGTATCTGCCCTGGTCCTGGATTGTAACCCCTGTCACTTGGAGTGAGGCATTTCCAACTGAGATCTGATCCTTGAACAGAGAAGTCCTGTTTCTGAAACGTTGGTCCTGATCTCCAAGTTGGTCTTTGTTGTGGTAGAAGGAGTGGACACGGATATTTGCTGTCCCTTGAACCCAGTGGATGAAAACATCAGAACCACTCTGGAAACTGCACGGTAAGACACATCTCTCCATAAAAACACAGGACGCCTCAGGACCTGAAACATCTGGTAAGAGGACACAAGTCCACATCAACCTCTTAATACCAATTCAATTTTATTTATATAGCGCCAAATCACAACAGCAGTCGCCTCAAGGCACTTTATATTGTACAGTAGATTGTACAATAATAGATAAACCCAACAATCATGTGACCCCCCATGAGCAAGCACTTTGG